ATTTTAGGGTATATCACTTTAGTTATAAGCTTCCTTTTATTCATTTTTTACTGATTACCACTTAGGTTAGGTTATTCTTTTAATTTCATTCATTGTTTAGGGTATATAGCTTTGCTTATTTACTATTTTAAGGTATAGCTTATTTACTATTTTAAGGTTTAGCACTTACGTTTTATTACTCTATTATGTTTACATAATCTACATTTTTATTTTATTTCTTATGGATATTACGACTACTAAAACCTGTTTGTACTGTTCTACAGTATGTAAAACAAACAGTTCTTTATATCGCCATATTAGGGCCAAGCATGGGAAAGAACCCATGCATTTCGATCAAACATTTCAGTGCATTTATTGCAGTAAGGCTTTGCATTCGACATATGCTTTGAAAAGACATATTATACACTTTCATCCTACCATTCCTCTTCAACCATCTGCTCCCAATTCTGTTCTAGCCACTGACACTCACTCATCAAATTCTTCCTCACATATTCAAACAGTTCATTCCGATCATATCACCTACAACACCTACTTCAATAATTTCCGCATCAACCCTAGAACATCTGTCGCCCTTCATTCCTATGCTGCCTCAATTTCACCTACACCATCAACTTCTACCACCATCATCAACTCCATTGCCACACAATCCACTTCTTGCACCAGTGTTCAACAGCAGATAAATTATATTTCAGGTATGTGTACCAAACACATGTTATTAAACAATGATGCAGCAAACAGTAACAATATTATGTTTTAATAGGTACTCAAAGGAAATCTAGGATACAATGGCTTACATCAACATATCGAAGTTGAACACACCATCCACATCCAGCATGAAGAAATCACATTTTCTTCTTTTAATGGTTTGTTCATTTTCGATTATAGACTTTGTCAATGCACTTTTCTATTATTTGGTATTTTTATATAGATTTTCAATCATGGAAAAATAAAATTGAGCAGAGGGATGTTACTCGATATGTAATAGATAAGTCTGGGTACCAAATTAAAGATGGGAACAAAATTATTTTTTACGATTGCCACCGCTCGTATAGTTGCAATAAAAAGAAAAAAGGAAAAATTTCAAGAGCATCCAAAAAAATCGGAAAGGCGTGTCCTTCTCGAATCCGTACTACGCATTATAGTGATGGTGTAATTAAAGTCATGCACTGGAAGACGCATGCGGGACACGAGAACCTTGCAAAATATATTCCACTCGACAAACATTTGCAAAAGATAATTGAAGGTACATTTATACATTACCATGTATTAATTTACGCACACATACATACTTATGTATACATTTAAATGTATGAATTATTGATTTATTAGTACTATAAAATTAATATTATAATTTTTACAGATAAAATTCTGGCTGGAGTTGCAGATGATGTTATTATAAGCAGTATACGTAGTGCTGCACATGATAATATGCTACCCCGCAGGGCTTCCTTGATTACAAGAAAGGATATATGGTACATCAAAAAACGTGTTTCACCACCACATATGACATACAGAAACCCTAATGATCAAGTAAGCGTGAGAATATGGGTCAGAGAGAAGCAACTTGAGAAAATGTTCCAAGTTCTGTTTTATAAAGAAGTTGGTACAGCTGATTATGGGCTAAATAAAGGAGACATTATTTTGGTCATTATGACTAACCTGCAGGCCAAAATGTTAATGAAATTTGGCGCTGACAAACTATGCGTTGACGGAACCCATGGGACAAATGGCTATGGTCATCATTTACACACTCTGGTAGTTGTAGATGAATTTGGAAGCGGAATACCTGTTGCGTTCTGTTTCTCCAACAGGCAGGATGAAGTCATTTTGAAAATATTTTTCCAAGAAATTTATAAGTCAGTAGGGTTAATAAAGACAACAACGTTTATGACTGATGATGCACCAGCATATTTTAATGCTTGGTCTCATGTCATGGGAATACCAGAAAATAAATTGTTATGCTCCTGGCATGTGTCCAGGAGTTGGAAAAGAGCAACGGCACTCAAGATTAGAAATCGACAGAAAGAAAGAGCAGTATACGAAAAATTACGACGAGTAATTAATCCAGTCCAAATCAGATGCCTATTTAATTGAGCTGGAATGTGATACATCCACCAAAACTTGTGCATACTGTTACAGGAAAGGCTTGGGCATAAATACAAACATGTTCTTGGAGAGCTATCATAATCAGATAAAGAGTCACATTTTGAAGAGAAGATGCTCGAGGCGAATGGATATAGCTATAAACACAGTGTTAGAAATGGAAGAGCAAGCTTTTCATCAAAGACACATCGAAGATTGAATGGTACTTTGTTATCAACGAGGCAGAAGGACTCAAACATTCTGAACAAATTAAGAACACCAGACTGAATAGAGAATGGGAGGTTCAATCTTCAAACGATAGATTCCCACCATATGTTGTTAAACAAACAAATTGAAAGCAAAATTGAGAAAATCTATAAACATTATTTTTTAGACAAGTAATTATTAATTAGCATATGTATTCATAACAAGACTCAAAAATAATCGGTAATAATAATGACGAGGACGATGATTTAAATTTATTAAGGTTTGTGAAAGTTAAAAGAAATAACGGTTATCTTGGTAAGTAAAATGCAATCTGTTACTAAAAAACTTTATAAATTATTTTGTAATATTACTTACAACTATTAATAAATCAATCACTATCATAAATACGTTTAGTGATTACTAAATCATTTATTCAATGTGGCTATACACGGTAATCTTATTTTGGCAGATAAAGTGGTTCCATTGTATGATGTGGCTCCGTTTCTGGAACACTTCAGAGTAAGCAGAAATGTTTGTAAGCAAATATCTGACCGATATGAAGTAAGTACAATCTACATTTTAAGCATATATGGAATACACGCAAAAATAAGCGCAGGTGCATCATAAATTTGTTGTTGTTCTAAAGAAGATTATAATTAAATATAATTTTAAGTGCAGATTTTTTTTGTGGTTTGCGGGTTATGAGAGTGCCAGCTACAGGGATCACTTTAAGTTCTCTACATAGAATAGTTCAAAGAATTAATTCTTTTCTAAGCCGTGTCAGTTCAGAATGTATAAAGTGGCAAAATTGCGAGAAAAAATTATTGATTGCCGAAGGATTTTCACAAAAGGAATTTCCTAATGTAATCGGAGTAAATCAATGGGTGCCACATACGTATAAACAGTCTTGCAAAGAATCCAAGATCATTTTTGAACCGGAAAGGATATTATGCCATAAATGTGCGGAAACTTTATTCATATAATAATATTTGTAATCCAGTTCTAATTTATTTTTTTTAGACGCAAGCTGATTGTGATGATCCGAACAAAATTATTGGTGTTTCCATTGGATATCCTGGTTCAGTGCATGATGCCAGAATACTTAGGAGATCAAACTTGTGTTTAAATTTGAATCAAAACTGTGATCGATGCATTTTATTAGGAGACGCAGCCTACCCATGACATGATGACACCATTTCGAAATATTCATTCTCTCACACAAACCCAGAAAAAATTCAATAAAAAACTTAATAGTGTTCGAAGAACTATTGAAAATATATTTAGGTTATTAAAACAATTGTTTAGGCAACTGTCACTTAGGGGGTTTTCTAGTGCAGAAATTCAAAAAAAATTTTTTTATTGTTTTATATTTTCAAAGTTTAACCATCTAAGAATATGGATAGGGAAAGGTTTTGAAAATTTGAATTATTTTCGGAGATATAGGCATTTTGCTGACCCGGTCTCCAAACTGGTTTGGCAGGGTCTAATCTGACAAAAGGCGTTAGGAACTCATTAGATCAGTTTATGACAGTTTATCGTCAGATGAATTATTAATTCGATGTATAGGCTCAGGATCTCAGAACAATAATGAATCTCTAAACTTGTTGATTTGGATTTTAGCGCCGAAACATATTCATCCCGATCTCAGATAATTGAAATAGCAACATTTATTGCTGTTTGCATATTCAATGAAGGTTTCTTTCCAATTTTAAACTTGATGACCCTTATGGTAACGCAAATTGGGCCAGAAACTCATTCATTTGCTGTAAGACGAGCAACGCCGGGATTGAACGATCTGAAATACGTACATCCAACGCTACAAAGGCGGCTAGAACTGCTTCATTGGAAGGCAGAAAATAGTTTTTTTTTTTTTTTTAAGTAGAAGAAGATCCGATGCATGAAGCAGGAATGGCAGATTAAATAAAAGAAGTATAACATATCATTATATGACTTTGACAACTTTAAATGCGTTTTCCTCAGAACGGACTTTTCCAGTATTGTTGACACGGTTTCTCGAGTTCCTACTCGACCGATTCATTTAAAATGTTCAGAGAGTCTTGTTTATAGACCCATCTGTAGCCTGTACTAGCATCATCCCCAATTCCCATTTTACTATATTTAACAAATTCTAGAAACTCAAAAAACAGTAAAAAAAGACACTTTTTCAAACAGCCGCCAATTTGTAAAACAAATTATACAAATACCCCCTTAAAATTAAAAACATCTATCTTATTTGCCATTTTATAAGAGCATGCTGTGTTTTACAGAATTGGAACATCAACAAAAATTTTGAATGTTTGCAGAGAAGCAAAGATGTTTCTCGTTTGAACATTGAGTCCTCGGTTTTAAATGAAGTTAATGCTGAAGCAATAGATGCCCGATTGCTTCGGGATCAAATAGTAGCCGGTTTACAATAATCAAATTATAAAATATCAAGAGCTTTTATCATTTTATAAATAGTCGGAAAGAATACAGAAGAAATTGAAAATAACATTTTTAAAAATATTCAAAATGTTATTTCATATTAGATCTGGTATTTCATTAGTTAAATAAATGTGTTTATATAATGAAATAATTTGTACTTAATAATATATTATAATAAATAATAATATATTCAAAAAATCATATATGATGTGTAATAAATAATATGTAATAATTTATACAGCTCCATATTTATTTTTTAAAATTGCTAATTTCTCTCTTTTCTTTTTCTAACATTTCTTATAAAGTTGTCTTTTATCGTCCCTGATTTCTTGTAATGTAGTTCTTCTTCTGATCTGCCTTGCTCTAGCAACATTCGATGGCTCAATTTCAATATTTGATTCTGACGAGTCATCATCTGCTGCTGTTGCAATAGCAAATCGTGAAGGCCCACTTTGTATCATCACAGCGGAAACGTTACTTTCATTTTACAGCATAATAATTGGAGATTACAAGAAAATCAAAATCATTTTTCAGATCACTACCTTTCATTTCTTGAATTTATTAGGACCAATATGGGTTCTACATTTTTTTCAACAATTTAAAAAAAATCAAAGCTCAATTCTAAACTTAACTTAAATTTCAACAA